TATCATACCCCCCTCTACCCCACATACCCTACCATCTCCTCTACATATATCCCACCCTCCTACCCCTAACCATCCTTCCCCTCTACAACACATATCCAACCATCTTTCATTCTCTTCTATCATACCCCCCTCTACCACTCATACCCTACCATCTCCTCTACATATATCCCACCCTCCTACCCCGTCTACCAGACGTACCCTACACCCCCCCCCCCCTCACACCCCACCCCACCCCAGCCCCGCACACACACGAAGACGGTTGACGCCTCAGACCGTGAGTTGTGAAAACGTCAGCTGTGAGATTCCCAGGTGTGGCTCACGTGCAAACAAAGAAAAGATAACCCTGACTGTACGTATCGATAGAGATCGATTGCTGAAATCTCCTCCGCTAGCTACTAAAAATGATTTACCTGGGTTTAGACGACATCTTTTATTTTCTTCTGTGGACAAAGAAAAGTACTTTACTCTCTTTATATTCAAGCCTTCGTTAGTTTATGACTGGGAAAGTCTATATTTAATTGTTGGCTTTTTGTTATAGAAAAAATGGGGATTTTCCGTTGAGTGCCAGCTGTATCCAATAGGGTAACTGAAAGGCAATTGGAAATTCCCGATTTTTTTTTTTGGGTATCTCCGTTCAAATTGCAACGAGTATGTTGTCTGAATTATACGTCATGAAAGTAATTTGTTTTAAATTCTACAAATAGGTGAAAGGTAAATGAATGTGTCTGTGATGTTTCTGTCTTACCACAATGACATCAAGCATAACGACACAACGCAGACCCTTACGTTACCACATGTCTACATACTGACACCACACCCCACCCCACTACACTACACCACACAATCCAACACCACACAACATGACACCACACAACAGGAAACCGCACAACATGACACCACACATGACACCACACAACATGACACCACACAACATGACACCACACAACATGACACCACACAACATGACACCACACAACATGACACCACACAACATGACACCACACAACATGACACCACACAACATGACACCACACAACATGACACCACACAACATGACACCACACAACATGACACCACACAACATGACACCACACAACATGACACCACACAACATTACACCACACAACTTGACACCACACAACATTACACCACACAAAATGACACCCACTGACAAATACACTGGCATTGCACTGATACCACACTGACACCTCATTGACACTAAATTGACACTACACTAACACCACACAATCCAACACAACACCACACAATCCAACACGACACCACATGTCAACACAAACGTAGCCACAAAACACCACATTCCTCACATTTTCCCTAACACGCCCATCCACCAACCCCTACACAGTGTACGCCACTTCCTAAATTTCTAACATAATTTGTGCAACAGGACACTAAACGGTGTCAGGCGATCTTTTTTACACCACAATTAAAGATCCCACCCCGCTACAAGATATATTGTTTAGCCAGGATAATATGTCCCCGCGTACTTCGCTAAAAGACTTTAGCTCCTAAAGCTACATTGACAACTTGTCAGTTATCACTGTTTGTGGCGTAGATAGGGTTTGTGAAGTTCTTATAAGAAAATTATATTTCGGCTTCGGTTGAAAAAAAACATTAACTCGTAACATTTTGTAAATAAAAATTGTACTTCGAAATTAAATATTATGAAAATATTGCCATTTAACTCGTCGACATAGAAACCGAAATCATATCCTGGAATAGAAACAAACTGAACTCTAAACACAAACCACATTAACTGCTGTTATATTTTTGTTTGTTTTTGTGTATTAGGCAGTGGCCAGAGCTAGCTTCAATCCGTTTAGAGCGTGCACATTTATAAAATAAATTTTAAAAAATTTGAATTTTTAAAAGTAGTGTCTTGGATTTAAAAAAAAAAATTGATGCTTATATCACTACAACATAAAATGTTGAAAAGCGTTTAATTAAAGCACTTCTTATGTTCTATTTTCTTCTTTTTTTTTCTTCTACAGGGATTCAGGTTTTTAAATCCGTTCAAATGTCGGATTAAACAACGCCGCCATCACATTGGGATTAGCTATAAACTATTGATTGGGTCACACTTCCGACAACTCTGGAGGTAAAAATAAACTTAATCCCTTGGTGTGTTTACATGTAGATTAAGATTAGAGGATGGTTGGAGATTTGCGGTTTAATTAAAATAAACTATTTTTAGCAAGATTTTTCTTTAGATCCGTTTATAATTGTTTTTAGCTGCCACCACTGACTTCGATTCGTTACTATTAGATATGTTACAAGTAGACTATTTCGTTTTGTTTTAATTATAAACTAAATTGGGATTCAATGCTATGGTTTGTTTAGATTCTATTATACAAAATAAATATAACGTTACATATATTAAAACTTAATTTTTATCTGCCTTTGTTTTGAGTTCAATGTATTGTTTTGTTTTATTTATATTGAATTTTTCAAATGTAGCTGTATATGTTGTCCATAGATATTTTATCCATGATATCCTTTTAGCTGATATATTTTATCCTGAGAAATTTTGTCAGTGAAATAATTTGTTCTGATATAATTTATCATGGAACAGTTATATAAATATATCAAATGTAATTACCCTATGCTATGTGTTTGTTTCAAATGTATACAAACATTAATTTATTTATCGCTTCAAATCCAGAAATCCATAATGGCTAAATTGTGTTTTGTGTTCTTGTTTATGGTCGCTGTGATCAAATGTAAACTCATTGTTAGTTAGATCTCAAATGTGATTTTATATTTTACTGGTGTTTTTTTTTTAAATCTTTCACATTTATTAAACTTCACCTTGATGAGCTATGAACTTTTCATTTCCTTTCGATTGAGCGTTTACTGAAATACTTAAATTTATAGATCTAGTCATTCTATTTTTTATTCCAGCAAACATGACAGCACTCAGGTTTCATTTGTTGAATATAATAAGTATGTAAGGATGGTATATTGTGGAAGTTTATTGTTGAATTAATAACCTGCTGATTTAATATACATGTAAAATTATTCACTGCCCGGTGAATATGCCGGCAAATCATTAAATACACCTCACAATTCAATACCCCTGATAGTTAAATACACCAGCCAGTGGAATATATCCTGTTGATTGGTAGACAGGTGAGTATGGCGACCTTCCGTGTCAGTGCTTTGTTGCCGTGTTGTCAGTGACACGTGGACTTATGTGTCAGTGTCACCTGCTCCGTGTCAGGTCACGCGCGTCTGGTTTCAGCCGTTCAAAAAAAAAAAAAAAAAAATTGCAGCTGAAAAGGGAATTAACTCTAAAAGACAACGTGAATTTTTTTTCCCCCAATCCTAACTTTAGGTCAGAGAGAATCGGGTTGATGAATGTGACTATATTATTTAAAGAGATGAGGTTTAACGTGTAGGGATTAAAATGTTAAATAAAAAAAGAAATTAAATACAATCTTTAAATATAATTACTTTTTAATCTCAACATTAATTTTATAAACAAAAAATATGTGGCATATTGTAGCGTGATAAATGAAGACAACTGACCCGAGACATTTTGTGTTCGTGCTGTTTCTAGCTCTAACGACTGACCACTGGGATGATGAAAGCACGTGCATCGTGAGCAGACTAAATTGTACCAAAAACACACACACATAAAACAAAGGTAAACGTGTAGCGAAAACAGTAAGTCAAACTTAGATCGATAGACGTGACTGGAGAATGAACATTACTTGCCTGCTGACCACCGCACCACCAATCCCCCAACCCCTACAAGCTAACCCACTCACACACTGACCCATACACACAAGCTGACCCACCCCCACATCAGCTAGCCCATACCCCACAAAAGCTAACCCCTACCCCAACACACACACACTTTCCTCAACTTCTCAAAAATCTAAGTGTTTTCATGAGAGTAACCTAAAATCTATGACTTCCTTATCAACCTAAAAAGAATGACTTACACGTTCACTTTAAACTATGCCTAAGATAGTTACACAAAACTATAGAAAATATACTATATAGATATTATATTTCAGATGTTGTGGAACAATGAGATCAACTGATTATTTACCGGAGTGATTTTGTTCATGTTAAACTGTATCCCTCAAGATCGTGCTTGGTTGTGATGGATCCACGTCTGATTGGTTCAAATCATATGACAGTGACACAGTATGTGTCTGTGTATAGCACATGTGACGGTCACACAGTTATTTAAAATAGTCTGATATTGAAGCAGTTATAGGCCAGATAAAATAAATTCTGCATATGTTGCCACACTGTTTCATCAAGTTAGATAAGAAAACAAACATTGACACTCATCCCCCGCTACAGATTGCATTCACAATCTTAATCAATACTCACCCACAGCAAACAATCTTAACACACACCCACCACTCCCCACACATAATCTTAACACACCCCCACCTCTTTCCACACAGAATCTTAACACACCCACACCTCTCCCCACACACAATCTTAACACACCCCCACCTCTCCCCACATACAATTTTAACACACCCCCACCTCTTTCCACACAGAATCTTATCACACCCCCACCTCTCCCCACACACAATCTTAACACACCCCCACCTCTCCCCACATACAATCTTAACACACCCCCACCTCTTTCCACACAGAATCTTATCACACCCCCACCTCTCCCCACACACAATCTCAATAAAAAAGACTTCTACACTCCACGCGAATACAATCAGTAGAACATCGTAACCATTCCCAACCATCGTTAATTCAGTACATTCCCTAAACTACCCCACCCACATTCTCATTTCAAAATATCCCCTCCACAAAATCTCACATAGAACATTCCCTTCACTCTCCCCTTTGGTTAATTCAATTCATACCATAACTCTCACCTTCCATGCAATCTCAATTCAACCCCCCCTCCCACACAAACATAAACACACACGACCTCACTAGATATGCCCACACAACACTCTCTCCATGAATATATTTAATCACAACATTTAGAAAGAAAAACATTTTTTTTTATTTCCTGGAGGCATGGGACTAGTACAGGTAATTTATACGTACCATCTAAACAATGGCTAATCAAGTGTAAGTTTTTTTTAATAATAGGAACCTGCATGTACATTATGATCATATAAAAACAAATGAAAACACAAAAAATGATAAATATAATTTTATACACAAACACGAACATATTTATTTAGCATTAAGTTAAACATAAATTCATCACACAATATAAAATAGATTGATTTTTTTTCTCAATAAAGTTCTTACATAAATTAGTTGAACAAACAGAAAATATTCATCAATGTTGAAGCGTAATGTCTTGTCTTAATAGTACGTTGTCGTAGTGTAGTAGTTAGACGTAGTACGGTAGGGTGTCGCAATTTAGTAGAATGTTACAATAAAGTAGGGTGTCGCAATTTAGTAGAATGTTACAATAAAGTAGGGTGTCTCACTGTAGTAGAATGTTACAATATAGTAGGTTGTCTCACTGCAGTAGAATGTTACAATATAGTAGGATGTCTCACTGCAGTAGAGTGTAACAATATAGTAGAGTGACTCACTGCATTAGAAAGTTACAATATATAGTAGGCTGTCTTACTGCAGTAGAAAGTTACACTTTAGTAGGGTGTCTCACTGCAGTAGAATGTTACAATATAGTAGGCTGTCTCACTGCAGTAGAGTGTAACAATATAGTAGGTTGTCTCACTGCAGTAGAATGTTACAATATAGTAGGGTATCTCACTGCAGTAGAATGTTACAATATAGTAGGCTGTCTCACTGCAGTAGAATGTTACCAGTAAGTAGGATGTCTCAATGCAGTAGAATGTTACAATATAGTAGGTTGTCTCACTGCAGTAGAATGTTACAATATAGTAGGATGACTCACTGCAGTAGAGTGTAACAATATAGTAGAGTGACTCACTGCATTAGAAAGTTACAATATATAGTAGGCTGTCTTACTGCAGTAGAAAGTTACACTTTAGTAGGGTGTCTCACTGTAGTAGAATGTTACAATATAGTAGGGTGTCGTTCCATAATAAGTGGTCGTAATACAGTAGGCAGATGCACAATAGTAGACGGTCACAATGCAATAGGCAGTGCTGTTGTAAGCGTATGCGGGCTCGGTGATAGAAACAAAAAAAAATATCCAGTAAAAACAAAATAACAATAAATAAAACATGAAGTATCTTGTAAGTGTTAGGAAGGAAACAATTATAACTTAAATCCTCCAAATAAAATAAAAGCTAGTAAATTTGGCTGCGATGATCCAAGTTGTATAATGTTACTGAAAAACATGGATCACTGTTACTTTGGTAGAATATTGTAAGTAATTGAATTATACATTAACACATTTTGACCAATGTGAACAACTGAAGAAGATTTTGTACCAGGATATTAGTTCAATGATCGAAGAATTTCTTCACAATAAAACAATAATTAAAATTACTTCCACTGTTGAAAACATCCTATTCTATAATTTTTACTTTCATAACCCTTAAACAAATTTAATTTCAAAACAAGATCTATTAAGCGCTACAAAGAATTCGTCCAAAATCTCTAGAATATTTTAAACCTTCAATTATCCAGTTTTTTTTCAATATAACCTCAGGTTACTGTTAAAATTTTAAAGCAACATTAACTGTGAATATTGTTCTGAAATGGACACAGAATGATATCTTTATTTAAGTACAATCAAAACACAACATTTATAATCTCATTTTTTTAACTAAATTATAAAAATAACACGTATCTTTACACTCAACAAAAACAGCGAAATAAATAAAATTTAAAATCTATTCAAATATTATAAAATTTTCATTTAAAATACCTGTTACATAAAGAAATAAGAATGCCACTTGAAATTGATTTAATTAATTAATCAAACTTAAATTCACAAATTGTACTTCATCTAATGATGATGAGTTTTTCAGATGCTAAAAAATTATATTCAATATGGAAACTATAAAATCAGCTAGGCTTATAGACAGAAAAAGAAGTTAGAAAAACTAGTATGAAAACAAGTATTTTACAAACCTATTTTAGTTGTCCGAAACAAAATTTTGCCTAATTAAAACAAAGGACATCTAATGAGATAATTAGGTTTGACGTTTTTTTTTACACGAATAGACTGGAACTAAGTTTGAAATATGTGTATTCATTAATTAATTAGTAATGCTACAATTACATTAAGTGTATCAGTAAGTTATTTCATAAGGCCTACTATAATTAGTTTTATACTCAGCAAAGATGTATCAAAACACTTATTACATTACATAGGATGTATACGTTTTTCAACGTTCATTTAAGCCAAATATCAACAATACTTCAACGTTCATTTAAGCCAAATATCAACAATACTTTACTGTTCATTTAAGCCAAATATCAACAATAATTTACTGTTCATATAAGCCAAATATCAACAATACTTTACTGTTCATATAAGCCAAATATCAACAATACTTCACTGTTCATACAAGCCAAATATCAACAATACTTTACTGTTCATATAAGCCAAATATCAACAATACTTCACTGTTCATATAAGCCAAATATCAACAATACTTTACTTTTCATATAAGCCAAATATCAACAATACTTTACTGTTCATATAAGCCAAATATCAACAATACTTCACTGTTCATATAAGCCAAATATCAACAATACTTTACTGTTCATATAAGCCAAATATCAACAATACTTTACTGTTCATATAAGCCAAATATCAACAATACTTTACTGTTCATATAAGCCAAATATCAACAATACTTTACTGTTCATATAAGCCAAATATCAACAATACTTTACTGTTCCGAAACAGAACACAGACACTGCACGGCGCGGTTGAGACAAAAGTATAACCCTGACAAAACTAAGTAGATTAGTGGTCATATGTGGACATATAACACGCAGCACATTTGGTTGTATACCATAACATCATAAACAAACGTGAGAACCTCTAGCAGACGCCACAACAGACGACATCAACAACGGAACACACGTCACTTCCGAACGAACGCATTCATCCAGCCCTGTGGTGGTGAGATGCATACGTTAGACCTGGCGACCTGTTTCCGGTCACCGTTTAGCCTGTCAGAACCCGAGCGTCTCACCATCAGTCTCACCATATTGTCTCACCATTAGTCACGGGTCTGAACCAGTCTCCTACCATTGGTATACTAAGTGTGAGTTAGACCCTACTATTTCATATAAATATGTTTATAAATATTCTTGTAGACAATTGTGTTTATGAAAATTCCTTTTTTGTTTTTATTTTGTAATATTATGACAATTGTAAGTAATGTAAGGTTTCAGTACTTTGAGTATGTTTGTGGCGTATAAGTTGTCTAGGTGTGCTGCAATCATAAACATGTCCTAATTCCAGAGAACAAAGCTGAGTACGTTGTAAACACACTCATAACAACAGCTACACATCTCTGGGTACCGATGCACCACTACACACCATGTCAACCCCAACACTACACACCTTGACAACCCCAACACTACACACTTTGACAACCCCAACACTACACACTTTGTCAACACCTTCACAGTGAAACACAGAAACATCCTGTATCAATGACTTGACAAACTATACAACCAGTGACACGAACTACACAGTGTGTTGATGCCATACACCTAGAGGTGAAACCAATGAGATCTATAAAAACAGAGAGCCATTTATTTAAAATGTCACGTGGACACCTGGTGTGTCACACCTACCCTCGTACACACGGCCATCACGTGACCGCCTCATTACTCCCAATCATGTGCATTATATACAAGACAATATTTATATATATACTTATATACAAGATGTATATTCGTCTAGAGCTGATGAAACATCAAGATGTGTGAGATGACATCCAGATGTGTGATAAAGATAAGTTGACAATATATAACTGACATCAATTCATCGCGGCGTTGAGCAGGAACAACATTGGACACTTCCAGAAGTGATTCTGTGGCTTCTCAGAACGAGATATCACGGCGCCTCAAAGCTTTTGTCTTTTCCAGACCACGTTTTTCCAGACCATATTTTCCAGACCACGTTTTCCAGACCATATTTTCCAGACCACGTTTTCTAGACCACGTTTTCCAGTCCGTATTCTCATGTTAACTACACATGTTTAACTTATATTTGTTAAGTCATTTTAATATTTATAAATTCTCGTCATCGCTTAAGTCATTTTTTTTAGTCCTTGAAATCTGACTTGCATTGTATTTTGATATACTGAAAATCCGTTTGCACATGCGTATTCAAGGAACGCTTTCAAAACCATGTTGGTATTCATAACCCAGGCTATCGCTGGGAACAGATTGTTTCTTTATCTGCAGTCTCCGTCGTCGCTGAGGTCATCTTCGTCCTTGAACTCTGACTTGCAGTTGCTGTTGAGCTCCTGGATGGCCAGCTTCTCCTTCTTCAGCTTCATCCGGCGGTTCTGGAACCAGATTTTGATCTGCCGCTCCGTCAGACACAGCGAGTGCGCGATCTCGATGCGCCTCTTGCGGGTCAGGTAGTGGTTGAACTGGAACTCCTTCTCCAGCTCCAGGGTTTGGTACCGGCTGTACGTCTGCCGGCCGCGGCGTCGTTGAGCAGAGTTTGGACCTGGTGAAGAGAAAGTAAAACTCATTAGATCTTGTGGTACCAGAGAAAATTGTTACACATTAGTTGTTTATTCAGACGAGATTTTGTGATAAGAGAAACAAATTGTTACAACAATTAGAAATTTTCCTAGGTACGATCTGGTGTTAAGAACATTTTTTTACATGTTTGCAATTCATCGGGAAGAGATGTTTTGATTAGAGAAAGAAACACTATAACAATTTAAAAGTTTGAAAGTAGGATCTGGTTTTGAAATAGAGTATAAACGTGAGTAATACATCATGTAGTTCTTAACTGAGCAGATTAAGGACCCGGCTATGGGAGAGAAAAAGAGGTCAAACGTTGATAAACCGTCGAGGTGTTTCCTAAGTGCAAACATACCACAAATACTATCGATATTACATTGAATTTCCTAAACCCTGGACCAAGCTTTACCCGAACATTCATTGACAGCCGACGAGCCCATACACCTTTGTAACAAGACTTGACAGTATTGTTGTGGCTGTTGTTAAGTTATTGTTATTTAAACTTGATCATTGTTCTTTATTGCTTTTGTTGTTGTTGTTGTGTTTATTCATTGAGTAGAATCTTTGAAATAAAACTTTTATAGAAAAAAAAAATAATTGTACTATATTTCCGGCTGATTAAAGAGCTTTCACTTAAACCGGAAAGGCGTGTCGCCGCTTTATTTACCGGAATCGCTCGACACTATATTGCCAGGCAAGAGATCACAGAAGAGCCTATAGGTCTTATTTCCTGAACACAACGCCATTAGAGCTACAAGAATAAGCACTCAGTGAATCAATAAACAACAAGGCAAGAATACAAAACAGCTTTACGTAGCAAAAGCTAAGTTTTTTAGTACGTTGATTTTTTTTTTGGTAAAGTTTCATTCGATTTCTTCATATTCGTTATTTCAGATTCAGTATATACATGCTGTTATTGTAAACATATGGACATGTTTGTTGAATACTAAATCTTGGAAATTATGTTTTAACAAACCAATTAAAAATCCAGTAGGATGTGTACCTCTAAACATGATCTTTACCACTAACTGATTCTTTGATATAAATACAAGGTAAAATAAATAAATTAAAAAAAAATATTATAATGTATTTAAACGTTGACTTTTAAATTTTTGTTACTAAATGTGGTGAGTATGTGAAATATGTTGTATGTTCTTGATGACTAAGGTTACATCTTAACTTTGTAGGTCGGCTAACTCAAGTCAGCGGAACATTGTGTAAAGGCAGCCAACCGTGACGACCATTATTTCATCTGACACCGTGTGTGTAGGGGGGGGGGGGGGGGGGAGGGGCGTTAGGCCAGGTAATCCGGTACAGGTGGACACGCTTTGTACAGAGAGCTGTAGATTATATTCAGGTCTAGCTGGCTAACACATTTAGTTATATTCAAGTCTAGGTGGCTAACATTTAGTCATATTCAGGTCTAGGTGGCTAACATTTAGTCATATTCAGGTCTAGGCAGCTAAAATTTAGTCATATTCAGGTCGAGGTAGCTACATTAGTCGTATTCAGGTCTAGGGGGCTAACATTTAGTCATATTAAGGTCTAGGTGGCTAACATTTAGTCATATTCAGGTCTAGGTGACTAACATTTAGCCATATTCAGGTCTAGGTGGCTAACATTTAGTCATACTCAGGTCTAGTTGGCTAACATTTAGTCATATTCAGGTGTAGGTGGCTAACATTTAGCCATATTCAGGTCTAGGTGGCTAACATTTAGCCATATTCAGGTCTAGGTGGCTAACATTTAGTCATATTCAGGTGTAGGTGGCTAACATTTAGTCATATTCAGGTGTAGGTGGCTAACATTTAGTCATATTCAGGTCTAGGTGGCTAACCTTTAGTCATATTCAATCTAGGTGGCTAACATTTAGTCATAGTCAGGTCTTGGTGGCTAACATTTAGTCATATTCAATCTAGGTGGCTAACATTTAGTCATAGTCAGGTCTTGGTGGCTAACATTTAGTCATATTCAGGTCTAGGTGGCTACATTAAGGCCGACATATGGGCCTTGTGATACGACCTAAGCGACATTTTTTCTTAAAATTAATAACAAGAAAAATTATAAATTATTTTACATAATTAATTGCCGGTGGAAATTTATACACTATGAGTAATGGTGATAGACCGAGGTGTAAGTATTAGTGCACTAAAGCTACCTGTAATACAGCTAGGTGTACCTTTGATGGAACAAGTGGTATATATTACAACACAACAAATAACTGTGATAGACCGTGGTAATGATATTACCACACTACAAGTACCTGTGATAGACACTACAATAATCTACACCAGCACTAACATGTTGTTCTACCTTTGTGTGAATGCATGTGTGAGATGTAGGGTCGTTGTAACTCCTTCTCAACTACATGTAAACAGTGAGTTATTCAGTCAAGGGAGATAACCGTGTCTCACCTACACGAGGGGAAGTAATTGTGTCTTTCTACCTCGGTGTCTGTTGTTTGGGGTTTTATAGTCAGGGAGATGGATGGGGTTCTGTGTGGGATGAGTGCCAACATTTTTTTTCGGATGTGTGCGGGCAGTAGGAAGACATGGAAAACATGTTCGGTTTAAAATACTGCACCATGATGCAGTTGCGTGCGTTATCGTACCGTTCTTAAATAGGTTAATGAGCTTTTCTTCTTGTCCTGTAATTAGATTACTAATATCGGGGTAGGTGTCGTGGGGAGAGGAAAAGAATAGACTAATTAAAAATAATTTGATTTGACTCAATGGAAGGTTATGGTTGAGGCTCTATGCTTCACAGGGAGAAAAGAGGATAAAGTCAAGTAAGTAAATCAAGTAATTGGTTCAAGGATTTACAAAAGGCGTTACAAAGAAGTGTGTCGAGGGGAGTGGCAAACTTGCTCCGGTGGTCGTCTATATTTTGAATATATATATATATATATATATATATATATATATATATATATATATATATATATATATATATATATATATATATATTTGAAATTATATTATGTAGTTTCACTTATTTCGAAACGATGATAATCTCGAAGCTAGGCCTCCAGTCATTTCAAATATCTAGGGATTTCTGATGAAGACCTTTTGTCGAAAAGTCACAATATAAATAATAATAATAGCTGAAATGAATAATTGTATAGAGTAGTACAAGTTAAAGGACGCAGGATGGACAGAAGGAAGCAGTTTTAATCAAGAGCGAATTTTCTTGATCGGTGTGGGGAACCCCCACCACGTGACAGTGGATGGTATCCATCCATCACCATCATCCCCAACTTGCCACAGGGTTCAGGGTTCAATCGCCCTCGTTAATATCGGGGTTGGTCCGGCCTCTCACGAGGGAGGCCGTATTTGCCTAATGGGATTGCATCTATCAGCATGCATATGCGGTAATATCGGTGATTTTTGTCATGAAGGGACGCAACCCTGCGTCACCAACTCTCAAGGGGCGGGTTATCCAGCCAAATAAAACGCACTAAATAAAGGCGAAACAAAGGGGACAAAATCCAGATCCCCTCTCCTGAAAGCAATTAGGTAAGTTTATAAAAAAAATTAAAAAAAACTATTCTGGATACGAAAAAAAAACTCATGCGTAAATGCATATTTATTAAAATAGAGATTATTCAGAAATATAAACGAAATAGAGACAAAGGGTATTCTTTTGGTGAAACTATTTCTCAGTTATTCAATGTATTTAAAGATTTGTTCCTCCATCGGTAAACTTCCATCTTCTCACACCCCCCCCCCCCCAACCTCACCACCTATGACGTATCTTTTCAGGATACCAGTTATGAATCTGTGTGCCAAAAAGTTAAGAGATAATCATACGCTTTTTTTCCTTCTCCTTCCAGGGAGACAACTTTTAAGGAATTAAATTTTCGATCCATTCTCTGGAAGTTTTATTGCGGTAGATCTCGGACCCCTGCGCCGTTTGGAAATTACCATCTCGCTCAAGAACGGTGCGGCTCGGTGCAAAGAACTTTAGGGCCGCACCGTTGAACGCAACGGGTGCGCATCTTGTGCGATAATGAACACAGGGAGGGAACTCGAGCTAAAAAAAAAATGTGTTCGACAGATGCGCGTGATTTCACATCGACCGCGGTTATCCTTCTATCTGGCCGCGTCAATAACGACCAACACCTTCAAGGTCCAATTTTTATCGTTTCCATTAAGGAGAAAAGTCTACCGCATTTTTAGAGTTATGGCATTTCATTCCGGACTTATTCTACGCCCGTAACGACGCGCATATGTTAGGACGTCAGCGTATGTTATGACGTATCTACGCACCACGGGCAAGAGGGAAGTTTATGGGATATGTGCCAAAACATACAGCATCATAATACCCCGACATCTTACCGAAAACGTCACAGAATAACCTCTAACCCTCTCTACAACAATAGTGCCTAATGTAAATATACTTAGAGTACAAGAAGCAAGACGAATATAGTAGTAAGAAAACTTTACATTAAGGAAACTAGATGGTAACTAGACGGTAAGAAATAGTAATATTACCGCCTATGATACGTTAAACATTGACCATATAAATGAAAAACTAAATTTAGTATAATGTAAAATACAAAGGGATAGAATATAAACAGGACTGTCGCATATTCTCACTGCGAACAAATGTCATTACCAGAGTAAAATTTTATAATTGTATGCTACCAGGATCATGCGTATGCTTCCCAAATTCAGTAAGGATTTAAAAGCGTTGATTAAAATGACCCTAGTGTGTTCTAAATATAAAGCAGATTAAGTCGAGTAGACCAGGTGTGAGCTAATCCCTCCCGTAGCCGAGCCAGCGTTAGCGGGGACAGTTTCAATCTTGCCACTGTGGAAATCTTGACAAACACTAGAAAAACGGGAATCCATTGTGAAACGTGTCGGCCACCGCACCCCCCCCCCCTGGTGTAGTGGAGTCAGAGTGGAGTCAGGAGTCAGCTTAGTGGTGTTCTCAAGCCAACTTAGCGCAATGTTAAACCGCATTAAAATGGGA